TGGGAGTGAAAGTCACAGTTTGAAAATGCCAGTTTGAAAAATGAAAAATAAAAAAATTACAAAAATATTCCACTAAAGCTGCCATTCAGTCTAGCTGTATTACCATGATATGAATCATCCAACTTGAGTTTGGAGATAATTAAAAAAGGGAAGTCTCAACATGTGCGTTTTATGTGGTCTCATTTAACGGCCACTTCAGACTTTATTAGACAAGTGACTTAATAGCTCTGAACTTAGCTTGTGATTACCCAAGGGACTGTATCAGACTATTACACCCATCTTATCCGTATACCACAAACTATGTCCTGGACTGAGAAAAATGAAACTTTCACAAAAATTCAAGAAAAAAGCAGAAAACAATAATGCACAGAAAAGAATACTGTCAATGCTGATGCAATAATACATTATGCTTAAAGGGATAATAACTCTTCGTATGAGATCTATATTTCACAATATAAACAGTGTCAACAACCCATAGAAATAAAATATATTATGTTTTACTACAAAAAGGGCAGTCATAGCTATTATTCTGATATCTGAACTTGTCCTCAGACCACGTGACCTCCATAGATGGCTATACTCTGTAATAATCTCTTTAAGAGATTATAAAAAAACATTTTAGAAAAAAAAAACAGGGACGAACTTTGAATGTAGAAATGGATTCATTAACCATTGGTAAGTATATTGCTCCATATTGCTCCATATTAAACAGTTTATTGATTTATTAAACAGTTATTACACCTTTTACTGCAAAGTCAACATCAAGTTTCAAATATTGCACAACAGGTAGAATTAATAAAAGTGATCTGTTACAAGCATAAGGCTTCAGGCCCATGAGAGTTCAAGCCCATGCTTTGATATATATATATATATATATATTATTAAATTTAAGCAATTTTATTTGTGAAATTTTCACATATTCTCATTCTGGCATTTCCAAAGTATGAACTCTAACTCTTATCAGCCTGAAGCCTTAGGGACTATTTCTAGACCCTATCACGCTAACTGTGGATTGATTCTGCTTTTTGTCTGTACATTTGACAGCTTTGCTGCCTTGTTTCACTTATCGTCTTATTGGTGTTGCACATATGCTGAAAAAAGCAAAAAAAAAAAAAAAAAAACAACAATATAACTAATTAAATAATGGCCTAACCATGCTGATTTTCGAACTTGACCTGCGTATTATCAAGATTCATCAGTTCTGCAAGTTTCAAGCCAAAGGGTAAAACGGTTTTCCACTTATCGTGTTATCAGTGAAACTGCATTGCGACGGCGACGACAGACGCAGGTGACGGCTATATGTACAGACACATCTGTGTCTGTTCATTAAAAGATGTAGGTCTATCCTATTGTTCTTCGTTTTCCATTTTTATTATTTTCCATTTGTAACAAAATATTGAGGGATAATGCACCCACCATTCGCTACTTATTGAATTTTTGCCATGAAAGAAATTATGTGGGAATTGCAGTGACATCTATAAATGTGGGGTTAAATTTCATTTTCACAAATCATGCAAATGGAGTGACAAAGTTTGAAATTTAAGCAAGTCTTGTCATTATGCAGAAAACTCTTTATTTTAGGCATACGGTATCACTCTATTTCTTTTTCCATGACTCACACCAAAACTAGATTTATGAAGATCCATCCTTTTGCCCACTTCATGTAACATTTTTACACAGTAAACTTAAGTGTTGCTGTAGCTACTATTTACATCATCTTTTCCTTTTTGGTATTTTTAGGTAAAAAGATCTATGTATCTATGCTTGTGCAATGACATACACTTACAAGCAGGCACGCAAATGCACAGACATCACAACATTCAATTGTTTATCATTTCAGATGAGCAGCTGACATTGCTTCAAAGCCACCTGGCAGAAAGATACAACCGTGAGATGAGCTGTGTGCCGCGGATCCCCTGGGATGATACAGACACCATGAACATTGATGATGTGTTTGTAGATCTGTCTCTCATCCAAGAACAAAAGGAAGGCGGTGGCACCAAAAAGGTTGAACTCAAGTCTTACCATGATATCTTTAGACCAGACATAAGAAAGAAAAGAATCATTATCAGAGGTAAAGCTGGCTGTGGCAAATCAACAGTTGCTGCAAAAATGGCAGTTGATTGGGCAAGGTTTAAGATTCAGAGTTCAAATAGAATTTCGACGGAAGAATGCCTCTATAACAGAACAAAACGCCCCCAAACAGAAAGGAATCATTTACATTATCTTGAAAATATGTCTCTTCTGTTTCTTATCAGGTTAAGGTTTCTTGACAAAGACCAAACTCTGCTTGACTCAATCAAAGATCAGCTGATTGACCCATCTTTTGAAATATCAGATGAAGCTCTGTTAAAGTACATGCATTCCAATGCTGAAAGAATCCTCATCATATTAGATGGTTACGATGAATATAACATAGATAGTGCCAACCCCCAGAATAACATATCCAAACTGATAAAAGGCGAAAGATTTGCTAATGCAACAGTAATTATCACTTCACGTCCATGGAAAGCACACGAGTTGTCCAAACATAGGCCCAGTGACATGCATGTTGAAATAAACGACATGTCCCCGGTTGAAATTGGCGAATTCATACAAAACCATTTCAATGGTAGAGATCCAGGTTACCACGAGTCAGTCGTGCAGTATGTGAACAAATACCATCTATCAATATCACTCACCCCATTACTTTTGCTCTTTATATGCATTCTGTGGGGTGAAAAAACTGCAGAAGAAATGCCCAATTCGCTCACGGTTCTTTATCAAGAACTTGTAACCCTACTTTCGGACAGATACATAGCCCGTCAAGAAAATCAAGAAACTGCAGAGAGTTATTTAACAGAAAAGATAAATATCATTGGTGAAATTGCTCTAGATGGCCTTCTGTCCGGTAATCTTACCTTCGATGAAACTAATTCAAATATTAGGGATTTAGGGGAACAGATTTTCCACACAGGTATCATATCTCGTTTAAAACTTAATAACATTAGGAGAAAGGTCAACATATCAAGCTATTCATTTAACCACAAAACTATACAGGAGTATTTCGCTGCAACGTACATAGTTGAAAGCTGGGAGGAAGACTCTCAGTCAGAGCCGATTAAAAAATGTCTAAGTCATGTTAACTGCTTGTCACGGTTCGAAGATTTGGTAAATGTCATACAATTTGTATGTGGACTGTCCTCAGAAGTAGCAGCAGAGATCTTTTCTCATTTGCATAGCCTGGCTGAAAAAGATGCAGCTTTTAAATCTGCATATTTTGCAGGAGGGTGGCTATTAGCTGCCTCTTCAAACCTTAACCCTACTTTTATTCGTCTAATAACTGAAATTTTGACAAACAATCGTGTTGTAGCCCGTGAACATATGCAATGGCTGAAACGTCTCGACAGTACTGAGATCCTTGGCATATATGCCCCGACAGCAGATTGTATATTGCAATACGCTCATCAGGTTACAGATCTAGAGTACCGGCAGATGCAGGGGTTCACAAATTACATTACCGCACCTTCTTCACCTCTTTGAAGGTGCTGCAGATCATGGGCCACTATAATGAAGAGAACTGTTCAGATAACCGATGTCCCGATCCAAGCATAACGTTCTTGTCAGGTAGTCCCATGGACTCTCTGGTGGATGTAAGACTGTTAATCAACGCCTTGGAACTGTTTCTGTCTGTAAAACCCCCGTTCCCATCTCTGAAAACGTTTATGCTCATAGATTGCTATCCCGTCTGGAATTTGGTTGATTTGTTCCAACTGTTATCTACAAAGAGCATGGTCAACCTTCTAACTCTAGATATGAAATTTACAAGTATGACTGCGTGCTTAACATGCCCGGTGGAAGGTGTGTGGTCCAAGACTGAAAGAAAGAAATATGGAAGAAATAAAAGCGATTCATTCATAGTTACAGTACCTCCCTGCCAAGGTAACAATAAATGCGTACTTGAAAAAGTAACACCGGGTGAACACAGTATTATAATTGACACCCTTTGTGACCTGGCCTCACAGCTGAAGCATTTGCCTAACTTAGAAAGACTTGTACTTGCTCGAAATGGAATAACACCTGTAGGACTGAAATCACTGACAGACAATTTGCATCATGTACCTAGGCTGAATTATCTCATCATTTCTGATAATTGTAAACACATGGGGTTTATTACCAACATTGACATTCCAACTATTATGACAGATCTTTTCTGTAAACTTCAACCAATGAACATGACACACCTAACAATGAGGCGCTGTCATATTGGATTACTTGGTGACATGGCGCCTGCAATGAAAGTTCCGTCAGATAATCTTAAACAATGGAAGGAACTGCGGTATTTAGACATATCAACAAATTTTATAGGGGACAGTATCGCTCATCTAGTCGATTCACTAAGTAGCACAAATCTCCCTCGTTCTAAAGATTTTTATTTTGCTGAAAATAAGTTGAGTGAGACAGTGCGAAATAAAATTGCCCTAAAACTAAGAGCAATGCCAGGTTTGAGGTAGGATATTTGATATATAGGAGGACAGTTGTAGGCTTATTAAATGAATATAAAGTACGTCCTCCCATTTTCGTTAGCAATTGCTCCCGATGAATGGCGTGTTTTTTTTAATTAAACTTTCTGCTGTTGGTTGATTGGCCGCCTTGTTCCCTCTATATTGCAATGATAACAGAACAAGGTTATTTTGAAGGAATTTTGAAAGTATGTTCCAATTAGATCTACATTCCATATATATTATTAATTTCTCCCAGATATGTTCTGTAATATTAAACTTACTGCTGTAGATTGATTGGACGCCTCGTTCACATTGTAACTGCCGACTTACACAGGCGAATCCCGTACTCTGTCATAGACATATACATACACAACATATACAATAAGCCGCTTTAGCCGCTGACATTATATAACATCATTTTGTCCTTGAGCGCCCCTAGGGTGTGCTGTTATTGGTGGTAAACACTGGTTGTTGGCGGTTTAGTAAATTAAATCAAACAAAATGAACAGTGTTGTCGACATCGACAAATATATCACGTTATCACACCTACTGCAATGTCGCTGTAATAGGGTCATGAATATTTGAGTACTTTTTGCCAACGCTTACTATAAAAGCGAGCGCACACCACTTCTGGGTGCGGTCAGGTTTTTTCTCTTCGAAATGTAATAAGGTAAGACACGTAGAACACTTTGGATATGTACATATTTAGTTGTTCATTTATTTTGATATAAAAGATTTGTAAACCGTCGTCATCTATTAGTTTTTCATTAAGTCAGGTGATATTAGTATAAAGTCATCTTTTTTATATCAATATATATATATATTTAGTCGACATGTACCTTATCCTTCTAGACAATTGCTTTCCTGGCCGCCACGTTACTGTGTACTCAATCTTTAAGTTGCCGAATGTTGTGTAAGTACTATAGATATATATTTAATTTCATAGTTTAGTCATATTGTCGATATTTGCGTGTTCGTATCTCTCTCTCTCTCTCTCTCTCTCTCCGTTCTTTATATTTGCATTTGTGCGTACACTTTATGTAATATATTTATTTATTTATTATTATTATTATTTATCTATTTTACTTATTTTTTGTTTAGTTTCACCACATCAGAAAACACCTCAGAACTCACTTCAGAACTCACCTCAGAATTCACCCCAGAACTCACCTTAGAATTCACTATAAATAGCTAAAAAATGTGCGTGAACAATAAAGGTGAAATTTAAAGATTCGTTGTTGAGTTATTGACTGGTACGCAGTAACATTAGTGAAAACAACATCTGGGTCNGAGAATTCACCCCAGAATTCACCTTAGAATTCACTATAAATAGCTAAAAAATGTGCGTGAACAATAAAGGTGAAATTTAAAGATTTGTTGTTGAGTTAATGACTGGTACGCAGTAACAGTGTGAAAGCCTGCTGGCAGTTCCCCAAAAGAGAGTGAAACTGTACCCAAGTAACAGTTATAAATTTTGTTTCAAGTGGTAAATGTGAAACTCAGTGATATCTAGAATATTTTAATTTATAACAATTAATTGCAATCGGCTGACGTTTTCTCTCCAGTCTGATGTGTTTCCATATCACGGAGCACCATGCATATTTTTGAAAAGTATGTATTCTGTGTTGTGGGGTAAGTTGATTTTTAGTCGGAAGACTAATGACTCTTTGTGATATTCACTCACATATTCAAGGTTAAAGACAATTAGTATAAATTTAAAGCTTACATGTTTATACCAAGTGCTACTTTCATTGGTTTAAACTGGGTAAAATTTAGAATACATTAACATTTGAAGACCAACAAGTATAATATTTTCCATTAGAAATACATTTGACTGGCGGATCCTACAAGAGAGAAGTTCACAAGCAATGATAAATAACAAAGGACTTACAGAAAACCCTGTCTAATTCCACGTTCAAGCTTGATATCACCAGTTATCCATCCATTATGCAGAATATGATTGTGAGCATTTTCATTTATAACTTGTACCCATTTAATCAATGATGTACCAAAAACCAAACAGTTTCAAAGCTTCCAACATAAATTCTTTGGAGATACTATCACAAGCTTTCTCATAATCGACTGGTAACATAATACCTTTCATATTATTAGCATTAATAAATCCCATGATGTCATCTATTGCACGTAAAATCTGAGCAGCTCCACGATTTTTTTAATATCCACATTGATCTTTGCTGATAATGGTAGGCAACACTGTGTTTAGCCTATTAGCAATAATCTTAGCAGCTACTTTATAATCAATATTTGTAAGTGATAGAGGACGTCAGTTTTTTAAACGCATTTCTAGGTAATTTTTTTTTTTTTTTTGGGGGGGGGGGGTATCAATACTGTCAAACCTTTTCTTTGTGAGCAAGAAATTTGGATACTCTCAAAAGCACTTTTCAATGCAGTCAGGCCATCCAGGACAAGAGAGGCATCATTTTTCATACTCTTCGTAGCCTCCTTACACTCTTCACTAGTTATTTTCCCCCCTCACACTGCTCTTTATATGAAGTACTGTTATTGGAAACATTATTACATAATGGGCATGGTTATATACTAGCATTATTGTAATCATAATCTTCGGCATAAATAGTACCAGGGCAAGTTAAAATTTTGCCTGACACACATAACTGTATTGAATTTTGAATTTTTCTGTTATTATTATTTTTTTATTTTTATTTTTATTTATTATTATTTATTTATTTATTTATTTATTTTGACATGCATTTCTGCGTCATTCACATTGGATATATTCGTAAACGCTTGATATTGGACATTCATTGATATACAGGAAACTGTGACCATTTATCTATATACGTGCACCAACGTACGCGAATAAGACATTTATCCATTCACAATGAATGGCAGATGACAATCGTTATTCACTGTCTAGAAAAACTAATTTGAATTATATGGAACTGAACTTCCGTGCTATAATTCAAAACGGAGGATACAATGGACTATACCAAATGGAAACTATTCATTTGTATGAAACGAACTTTAAATATTACGAGTTGACTTTGAGCCAAATATGTTATTGCATGTGCATGGTTATAATGACACGTTAAGTATTATGTATTGAAAATCAAAAACGTGAAGGATTATAAATATATCTATATTCAGCTTATGTATCTTTTGATTACTGATTATCTATATTTAACCAGATGATTATTGTTATATGAACAGTATGATGACATGAAACTGATGATATACATGTGGACATCAAGTGGGAATTCTCACATTTTGTGACTTGATTATTTCACAGTATAATTTTATACATTCGTGGATTGAACTTAATATACATGTAAACAAGTGTTTCTCTTATAGTCATCTCAAAGGAGTGCTACATTGTGGATAAATCTGAAGATGAACAAGTTCTTCATCACGAACAATGCGCTGGTCGCAACGTTGTGTTCACTGCTACTCACTGGACAGGGAGTGATCGACCCTATTGTCTCACGTAGTGCATTCCTACTATATCAAAAAATGACAACCAAAAGAGGGAAACCGTGTAAGAAAATGTGTCAGAGCCATAAAGAGAGTAACAGATTAAATATCCGCGCGGTCGAAAACAAGCAAAAAGTATCTCTACTCTTGGGCCACACATTAAAATGCCAATACGAAATATATCCACGAACAATTGATTTTCCGAAAAGTTATAAATTTATCTTCCTTTGATTTATATTTGTGGTTTCATGTCGAATGTGTTTCTATTTTATGTGTAAGTAAATTATATAGAATTTACTTGGTTGTATTTTTGGTATGACTTTCTGATAAAAAATGGATTGCTTAAGAAGGATTATTTAGAGGTACATTTTAATTTAAAATAGGCATATCGTCCCCGGGAGATAATGTTAGTAATTGACCGCCTCGAGTGAAAAAGGTGCGGGGAGTGTTTTGTAGAGTAACTGATTGATTGAATTGATTGCCATGGCCTCGTCGTACCTTCGCGGCAAATGTAATGTAAACGGTGGAATGCAATGTAGGAGGTTGAAGGAAGAGGAAGAAAATGTATATAACGTAGTTAGGAAGTGACAATAAAGAATATGAAGGAAGATGAAAATTGTTTAATTCTTACCTTGCGTAATCAGTAACATTTAAGCCAATACCGTCGTGACATATGTTTCTTTTCCTTTATGTTTGCATAAATACATTTATCTTGCAATTGTAATACTCTGATAATTCAAAACAACAAGAGCAAAGTAATTGGTCTTTATTTTCCCTCTGTATTGTATTTTCACGAAATCCAAGATAAAAAATCAGAATTTGGGAGAACACTTCGTACACACTTAAGTCCATATTTTTGTGAGGGGGATAGGCAAGCACCAAATATTTATGATTCCTTCTTCAGCGCTGTTACTAATCATGTGCAAGAGTTCACTCAACCAAGAATGGCAGGATTCTCTCTAACGATCTGGAATGTATAAAATACCGCAACGTTACAACTTAAAACAAATAAAGCAATTGTGCACCCTCTCTTGTCTCTTTTCCCCAACTTTAGTGAAAATAATACCTCAACGACAACGGAAACACGGATGGCAATGATCTGACTGAAAGAGTATGTAATACCAGATATATTTCTACCATTTGAAAACATGGGTTAATAATACAGCTACTGTTTATCCATACAACTGTCATAATATCACTCGTAAATGTATACGACGGCGGAGGTCAATTATGCCAGCTGAGGGTTGCATAAATCACCGAAGTCACCTCACCCGAAGGCAATAATTGTATAGAAGTTACCTTTAACCAGGCTGCAGCAAATTCCTCAAAGGGGACTTGGCCGTCGCCTAGAAATAAAAATAGAAAGTTTTTTGAAAAAGAATTCTGAAATTAGATTTTCAATCTGGAAAATATTGCTGACTTGAGCACGTCCATCTGCGATACTTCTGTTACCTTATCTGTTCTCTGTTTTTTTTATATCCTTCAAAACGCACACACGGCATCAGAGCAATTAAAGAAAGGTTTACAATGATTAAGTTAATTGTTTGATTCATTTTTCTTAGGTTCTTAAATGCATATTACTTACACGCACAGCTTATATGAAACAAAAAATAGACACATGAACGGTTCCCAAAGTGACATTCACCTGAATATAATTACTTATCCAGTTAATTCTGAGAAATATTTGAAGCCATAAAAAGGAACTGTCAGAAAATGAATCTCATAACATAATAAGAGCTATTACCGTTGGCATCATACTGATTAAAGATACGTTGCAGATCTTCGCGGGTAATTTTACCGTCCTCAGCAGCGGCAGCCGCAAATACCTGGGCACCATTTGTACCTGGCCAGTGAGCTAAGAACTCGGTCTGGGTGACCTCGCCGTCCTCTGAAACACAGCGGTGAAACAAGAATGAAAATCATATCTGGGATGGAGCCAGCAAACTCCAGTGGTGTTACTACTAAATATAGCTCCTATGGCACTGGAATTGTTGTTTAGGACATCCCCCCCAAAAAAAAAAAAAAAAAAAATATATAT